TATTCTCCAGTGAAGCGTCAATATATACGATGCTACATACGGTCTGGTAGTATGCCATATGCTATTCCAAGGGGAAGGAGTACATCTCAGAGTACATTCCATGGCTGTACAACAGGAACAGATAGTGAAAATGAAGATGATAGTTTTGCAATTGGGATGGAAAATGTGCATAGTGGTGGTAGTGGTGGTGCCGGCCGTGAGGCACCAGCAGTGGGCCATGCTGCCACCCATGCCACTGCCTCAACTGATCTATAACAAAGGCCACCATCCCCCACCCACCCACCACACCAGCCTCCACAACCACAACCTCCACAACCACAAACTCCACAACCACAACCACCTGTCAATATTCAGCACCCACCAGCAGACCGCACCTGGGATTGGCAGGAAGCTGCCAATTTTGTTCCAAATCCCCACCAGTTTGACGAAAGCCAAAGTGGAATACGGCAATTTTGTACACTGGGGAATAATGCCAGTGAACTGGAATGTTTCGAGTTATTCTTTGACGAACCCCTGATGGAAATTATTGTCAGGGAAAGCAACACATACTTCGATTACACCATGGCAAACACAATACTTTCACCAAAATCACGTCTACACCAGTGGAAGGAGACAACTGTGGCTGAGATGTATCTTTTCTTTGCCACAATAATGCTTATGCCACATGTGTATAAGCACACTGTGAAATCATACTGAACAACAGACCGCCTGACTGCAACCCCAGGTTTCAGTGATATAATGCCAGTGAATCGATTTGTGCTACTATTACGTATGCTTCACTTCTCAGACAAAACCAGGTCTGATAGAAACAACAGGTTATATAAGATTAGGAATGTGTTTGTGTATCTGAAAGAGAAATTCAATATGTATTTTTATCACTTCAGGAAGCTTGTTATTGACGAGTCTTTGATTCTGTTCAAAGGAAGACTCTCTTTCAAGCAGTACATACCACGCAAGGGGAAACACTTTGGTATAAAGCTGTTTGAGCTTTGTGATTACTACAGTGGTCTTGTATTGGATATTATTGTGTACACTGGAAGTTATACATTGCAAAATACCAGGAAATTATTGGGCATCTCTGGTGATGTGGTTAGAACAATGATAGAACCACACCTTGGTAAGGGGCATATATTATATACTGATAACTGGTAAACAAGTCCATCACTCAGTGATTTTTTGCGAGTGAACATGACAGATGTGTGTGGCACAGTGCGTGCAAATCGTAAACATATGCCCAGGTTTGACGCTGGCACTCGTAGAGGTGAGGTGCAGGCATTTGCTGCCAATGACATCATGGCATTTCGCTGGCATGATAAACGAGATGTCACACTGTTGTCATCAGTTCACCCTAACGAAATGACAAACACTAGCAGATTATCATACATAAATTATCATACATAGTAGCATGTGTGTGGAGAACCTAGGATAACCCAAAAAAGTCAGACAAAGTGACTTATTTCCATTAGGGTCCCTGTACCCTTTACCATATGGTATAATGTACCATATGGTACATTGTACCATATGGTACATTGTACCATAAGGTACAATGTATCATATGGTTCAAAACCACAGAATTCCCCTTCAGATCCACTTCCATCAGTGTTAGAACTATAACTTGGGAAGAGAAGAGTCAGAATTCGCTGGAGAGTGAGAGCTTCCTTGCTGCCAGGCATGACGAGCAAAGCGTACTGAGATGACGTTCTCATAATGCAATATGGGTGCCCTGATTTCCTGTTTACTGTGCACACTGACCATGCAGACCCATTCTCTTAGATGTAGGCCTACCAGCCTTCTTGCTCTATGGCTCTATGGCTTCAACGCCATAGATCTATGGGACGGACCCTGAAAGGGTTAAGGTGCCCGAGAGTGATTATTATTATTATGCTTACTGGATCTTCAATACTAGTGACAGTTAAAAAGATAAAGATTTTATTTCTTTGCAAAGGTCACTATGTGTAATTACAATTTTGTTAGCGATTTTAATGTGTACCTACATGCCAGCACAGTGTGTAAGTTTATTTAACCCTTAAACTGTCCAAATGTAGATCTATGTTTTTTCAACATTTGAAAGTATGTAAAAAAAAGTAGATCTTCTTTTCTTTTTTTACATTTGGAAAAGTGTAAAAAAAAACTTTGATCTATGTTTTTTTTTTTGTTATACAGTATTTGAAAATATGTAAAAAAAAACAAAGATCTACTTTTGGAGCACTACGCATGTGAACATAGATCTGCTTGGACAGTTTAAGGGTTAAGTACAGGTACACCTAAGTACAATTATCAGAGTGTATATATACAATACAAGTTTAGATTTAGAAAGGATATAGGAAAGTATTGGTTTGGAAATAGGGTAGTTGATGAGTGGAACAGTCTACCTAGTTGGGTTATTGAGGCTAAAACCTTGGGTAGTTTCACATATAGGTTGGATAAATACATGAGTGAGAGGGGTTGCATTTGAGTGGGACTTGCATATGAGAGTGGATAGAGTTATCAGAACTTATTTCTTGGGTGGCATTGAAAATTGGGTTGGGCAAATGTTTTGTTAGTGAGATGATTTGCAAAGGACCTGCCAAGTATGGGCCAACAGGCCTGCTGCAGTGTTCCTCCTTCTTATGTTCTTATGTAATACATAATAATTTTAAAACACTTGAAATTTTGTAAAGTTTCCAGATGTAATCAAAAGATGTGGAGCTAACAGAGAATGTAAAGAAACAAGAGTGAATCAGCGAGCTGTATAAAAAATTTTTGGTCATAATCTGAAATGTGCATACTATTGGCAAATCACCAAAAAGTGGGGCCCCATTGAATACAGGAGAACCCCTGTATCCACTGATTTGGTATCCCTGGTTTCAGTTATCCATGGTTTACTGTGACCCAAATACCTCTTAATTTTGCATAACAATGGCCCCAAAGCACAAAAATAGAAAAGCTGGCAGTTCTTCAAAGCCTAAGAGAAGCTGTGAAGTGCTTCCCATCAGTGAAAAAGTGATAATTCTCCACTTATTTTGCATAATTTATATATTAACCCTTTCACTGTTGAGAGCCCTGATCACAAACTTGCTCTCAGTGTTAAAAAAAAAAAAAAAAAATTACCAAAATCTAAAGAATATTTTTCAGTGTTTTAAAAGAAAATTTTTTTTTTGTGATTAGTACTTACCGAGATATAGAGGCATGAAGTCGACAGAAAGTGAATCACTTACGCAAACCCTGCCAACTGCCGCTCACTCAGTAACATTATTTTTATTTTTATTCTATTTTTTCTTTTCTTTTCTAATATTTTATTTTTTCAAGTAACTTTTGTGGCCTGTGAAGCTAATAAAATGCATAATGTATATGTATCCACTTGTTGTATGCAACATAATAACCGCACAAATGTTTTTGTCCTTATATTGTTTACAAAACTTGTTTACACAAGCCCACACTGCCTTCCCCACCCACGCTGCCTTCCCCATCACCCACGCTGGAAATAAGTCATTCTGACTTTTTTGGGTTATCCTAGGTTCTTTACACATGCTGCTATGTATGATAATCTATGTAACTGTATTCATGTATACCTGAATAAACTTACTTCTTTGAGGCAAGGGATAATATGAGTTTCCTCTTTTGCTGTGGTACAAGTGAGCATAAATGAGATGGTCCAGCACCAAAGGTGGAAGGTTGATGGTCGTCTGGGTTTTCAGTACTATTTCTGGTATCCTGGGCATTGCTTTCAGTCACAAACTCCTCAAAACCATGAGTTTCATCTTCACTGACACTTCAATCTGTTAGAGCTATCACTTGGGAAGGGAAGAGTCCCAATTTGCCGGGAAATGAGGTAATCCTTACCGCTATGCATAGGTGAAAAAGGTGTACTGAATTAGCACTCCCACAATGTACTGTGGCCTCCTCTAATTTTTTTATACTGCACACACTGACCATGCAGACCCATTCTCTCACATGTAGGTCTACCAGCTTTCTTCTGCTAGATTTGAAGCCACTAGAATTTTGGCGTATTATGGGACCAACACTGGCTTCCAAGCCATAATATTACAGGACTAGCAGTGAAAGGGTTAAACTTTATAATATATATGTATAGAACTTATATATAGGGTTTGCTATTATCCACAGTTTCAGTATTCATGGCAGGTCCTTGGAACGTATTCCCCATGGATACTGGGGTTCTACTGGGGGTTCTACTGTAACTGTTTTTTTTTTTTTTTATTTTTACTATTTTTGTCTTGAAATGCTATGCACAAGAATTACTTACAATATTATGATTGCTTCAGAGTGTAATACAACTCAAAACATGGAAATAAGTCACACTATTTGACTTTACAGGGTTATCCTGGGTTATATACCTAGTGTGCTTTATGGCTAAATTCCACTGTTAGTATCATGAAATTGTAATAAATTTGGACTGAATAAGTCATCTCTGAACCACCTGCACACACTGTTTGATGGTAGGGATGCTGGTGGTGGAACAGCAGCTCCTGGTTCATTGTTTACTTCTGCTAGTTAGGTGTGCTAGTACATCACACACAGCCATCACCTGAGTAGTTAACCATGATGCAATAATGGTTAGGCAGACTTTTCTATAAATATTTTGCTTACCAACACTGAACCTCCAAACTGTTCAGTAGTTGAAGACCCAACATAAAAACTAACCTAAGAGGCAAATAAAAAAAAAAGAGATATATTAGTGAGACCTGCAAGAATTACTTTATCATATATGCACATGAGAAAAATTCAAATAAACAAAGGGAATAAAAAGAGGAGGAAAACACACACACACACACATATACATATGGGAAAGTAAGACTGAGGATCAATATGAACAATAGATTGCACAGAAGACTAGATTTACTGCACTACCTGTGTCCCATGAAATATCAATAAGGAAAAACATACTGGTAATACCATATTTTAATGGCACTGTTTCTACAGGCAACTGACACATATAAATGCATGAAGATAAACAAACAATAAATTCCAAACAAGCCAACATATATAGCAAACCACATTACCTGCATGCCACAAGCAAGGGGAGTAACATAAGTCAAGGAAATTCCTAGTCCAGACAAGAGCCCGTATGTCAGGACTACGGTAAACAGTGAGACATCAATCGTATAATACGTCAGCATAATACCTGCACTGAAAATAAAGCATCTAGTCAGGTACTTAGGAAAATAATTCCAGGCTTATATGGCTGTTCTCAAATCAAAACTACTCTTGTAAGAGTTGCCAACTGAAGCAAGTATTCATAAGCTTACAATACCAAGGAAGTATATTTCAGATTCATGTTAATGTACAAAAGCAACCTCCAAAGAGCTATAAAATTTGGCTCAACCATCTCTGGTACAGTAAGCCCTCTATATTTGCAGGTTACATTCTTGCAAAGCATCACAAATTTAGAATTAACAAATACAAATATTTTAGGATAAAAAAATAGTTACTGGTAAGTGAATGGGTCAAACTACACATAAATAAAAACTAAATATTTATAAGAACAATAACTTAATATACTTAACTATGAAATATCATTATAATACCAGCACTTGAAATAATATTCAACAGTGTAGTGCTTACTATAAGCAAGTCCATAAAGTGAGGAACAGAAAGTATCTACATCCAATAAATGTTCAGCCACCAGACTTACAGTGACTGTCACCTAAACTCACTCACTCAATCATTTTTTTTTATTATCACACTGGCCGATTCCCACCAAGGCAGGGTGGCCCGAAAAAGAAAAACTTTCACCATCATTCACTCCATCACTGTCTTGCCAGAAGGGTGCTTTACACAACAGTTTTTAAACTGCAACATTAACACCCCTCCTTCAGAGTGCAGGCACTGTACTTCCCATCTCCAGGACTCAAGTTCGGCCTGCCGGTTTCCCTGAATCCCTTCATAAATGTTACTTTGCTCACACTCCAACAGCACGTCAAGTATTAAAAACCATTTGTCTCCATTCACTCCTATCAAACACGCTCACGCATGCCTGCTGGAAGTCCAAGCCCCTCGCACACAAAACCTCCTTTACCCATTCCTCCCAACCTTTCCTAGGCCGACCCCTACCCCGCGCCTTCCTTCCACTACAGACTGATACACTCTTGAAGTCATTCTGTTTTGCTCCATTCTCTCTACATGTCCGAACCACCTCAACAACCCTTCCTCAGCCCTCTGGACAACAGTTTTGGTAATCCTGCACCTCCTCCTAACTTCCAAACTAAAGAATTCTCTGCATTATATTCACACCACACACTGCCCTCAGACATGACATCTCCACTGCCTCCAGCCTTCTCCTCGCTGCAAAAATTCATCACCCACGCTTCACACCCATATAAGATCGTTGGTAAAACTATACTCTCATACATTCCCCTCTGCCTCCAAGGACAAAGTTCTTTGTCTCCACAGACTCCTAAGTGCACCACTCACTCTTTTTCCCTCATCAATTCTATGATTCACCTCATCTTTCATAGACCCATCCGCTGACACGTTCACTCCCAAATATCTGAATACGTTCACCTCCTCCATACTCTCTCCCTCCAATCTGATATCCAATCTTTCATCACCTAATCTTTTTGTTATCCTCATAACCTTACTCTTTCCTGTATTCGCCTTTAATTTTCTTCTTTTGCATACCCTACCAAATTCATCCACCAATCTCTGCAACTTCTCTTCAGAATCTCCCAAGAGCACAGTGTCATCAGCAAAGAGCAGCTGTGACAACTCCCACTTTGTGTGTGATTCTTTATCATATTCTCAATCATATTCTCACAATATTCTCACTATATCTGTATTATAGGTAGTAGGTTGGTAGACAGCAACCACCCAGGGAAGTACTACCGTCCTGCCAGATGACTGTGAAACAAAAACCTGTAACTGTTTTGCATGATGGTAGGATTGCTGGTTTCTTTTTCTGTCTCATAAACACGCTAAGATAACAGGGATATCTTGCTACTCCTACTTACACTTTGGTCACACTTCACAGACACGCACATGCATATATATATATACATACATCTAGGTTTTTCTCCTTTTTCTAAATAGCTCTTGTTCTTTTTTATTTCTTCTATTGTCCATGGGGAAGTGGAAAAGAATCTTTCCTCCGTAAGCCATGCGTGTCGTATGAGGCGACTAAAATGCCGGGAGCAATGGGCTAGTAACCCCTTCTCCTGTATACAATTACTAAAAAGAGAAGAAGAAAAACTTTATAAAACTGGGTTGCTTAAATGTGCGTGGATGTAGTGCGGATGACAAGAAACAGATGATTGCTGATGTTATGAATGAAAAGAAGTTGGATGTCCTGGCCCTAAGCGAAACAAAGCTGAAGGGGGTAGGAGAGTTTCAGTGGGGGGAAATAAATGGGATTAAATCTGGAGTATCTGAGAGAGTTAGAGCAAAGGAAGGGGTAGCAGTAATGTTAAATGATCAGTTATGGAAGGAGAAAAGAGAATATGAATGTGTAAATTCAAGAATTATGTGGATTAAAGTAAAGGTTGGATGCGAGAAGTGGGTCATAATAAGCGTGTATGCACCTGGAGAAGAGAGGAATGCAGAGGAGAGAGAGAGATTTTGGGAGATGCTAAGTGAATGTATAGGAGCCTTTGAACCAAGTGAGAGAGTAATTGTGGTAGGGGACTTGAATGCTAAAGTAGGAGAAACTTTTAGAGAGGGTGTGGTAGGTAAGTTTGGGGGCCAGGTGTAAATGATAATGGGAGCCCTTTGATTGAACTTTGTATAGAAAGGGGTTTAGTTATAGGTAATACATATTTTAAGAAAAAGAGGATAAATAAGTATACACGATATGATGTAGGGCGAAATGACAGTAGTTTGTTGGATTATGTATTGGTAGATAAAAGACTGTTGAGTAGACTTCAGGATGTACATGTTTATAGAGGGGCCACAGATATATCAGATCACTTTCTAGTTGTAGCTACACTGAGAGTAAAAGGTAGATGGGATACAAGGAGAATAGAAGCATCAGGGAAGAGAGGTGAAGGTTTATAAACTAAAAGAGGAGGCAGTTAGGGTAAGATATAAACAGCTATTGGAGGATAGATGGGCTAATGAGAGCATAGGCAATGGGGTCGAAGAGGTATGGGGTAGGTTTAAAAATGTAGTGTTAGAGTGTTCAGCAGAAGTTTGTGGTTACAGGAAAGTGGGTGCAGGAGGGAAGAGGAGCAATTGGTGGAATGATGATGTAAAGAGAGTAGTAAGGGAGAAAAAGTTAGCATATGAGAAGTTTTTTACAAAGTAGAAGTGATGCAAGGAGGGAAGAGTATATGGAGAAAAAGAGAGAAGTTAAGAGAGTGGTGAAGCAATGTAAAAAGAGAGCAAATGAGAGAGTGGGTGAGATGTTATCAACAAATTTTGTTGAAAATAAGAAAAAGTTTTGGAGTGAGATTAACAAGTTAAGAAAGCCTAGACAACAAATGGATTTTGTCAGTTAAAAATAGGAGAGGAGAGTTATTAAATGGAGAGTTAGAGGTATTGGGAAGATGGAAGGAATATTTTGAGGAATTGTTAAATGTGATGAAGATAGGAAGCTGTGATTTCGTGTATAGGGCAAGGAGGAATAACATCTTGTGTAGGAGTGAGGAAGAGCCAGTTGTGAGTGTGGGGGAAGTTCGTGAGGCAGTAGGTAAAATGAAAGGGGGTAAGGCAGCCGGGATTGATGGGATAAAGATAGAAATGTTAAAAGCAGGTGGAGATATAGTTTTGGAGTGGTTGGTGCAATTATTTAATAAATGTATGGAAGAGGGTAAGGTACCTAGGGATTGGCAGAGAGCATGCATAGTTCCTTTGTATAAAGGCAAAGGGGATAAAAGAGAGTGCAAAAATTATAGGGGATAAGTCTGTTGAGTGTACCTGGTAAAGTGTATGGTAGAGTTATAATTGAAAGAATTAAGAGTAAGACGGAGAATAGGATAGCAGATGAACAAGGAGGCTTTAGGAAAGGTAGGGGTGTGTGGACCAGGTGTTTACAGTGAAACATATAAGTGAACAGTATTTAGATAAGGCTAAAGAGGTCTTTGTGGCATTTATGGATTTGGAAAAGGCGTATGACAGGGTGGATAGGGGGCAATGTGGCAGATGTTGCAAGTGTATGGTGTAGGAGGTAGGTTACTGAAAGCAGTGAAGAGTTTTTACGAGGATAGTGAGGCTCAAGTTAGAGTATGTAGGAAAGAGGGAAATTTTTTCCCAGTAAAAGTAGGCCTTAGACAAGGATGTGTGATGTCACCGTGGTTGTTTAATATATTTATAGATGGGGTTGTAAGAGAAGTAAATGCGAGGTCTTGGCAAGAGGCGTGAAGTTAAAAGATAAAGAATCACACACAAAGTGGGAGTTGTCACAGCTACTCTTTGCTGATGACACTGTGCTCTTGGGAGATTCTGAAGAGAAGTTGCAGAGATTGGTGGATGAATTTGGTAGGGTGTGCAAAAGAAGAAAATTAAAGGTGAATACAGAAAGAGTAAGGTTATGAGGATAACAAAAAGATTAGGTGATGAAAGATTGAATATCAGATTGGAGGGAGAGAGTATGGAGGAGGTGAAGTATTCAGATATTTGGGAGTGGGACGTGTCAGCGGATGGTTATGAAAGATGAGGTGAATCATAGAATTGATGAGGGAAAAAGAGTGAGTGGTGCACTTAGGAGTCTGTGGAGACAAAGAACTTTGTCCTTGGAGGCAAAGAGGGGAATGTATGAGAGTATAGTTTTACCAACGCTCTTATATGGGTGTGAAGCGTGGGTGATGAATGTTGCCCGCGAGGAGAAGGCTGGAGGCAGTGGAGATGTCATGTCTGAGGGCAATGTGTGGTGTGAATATAATGCAGAGAATTCGTAGTTTGGAAGTTAGGAGGAGGTCGGGATTACCAAAACTGTTGTCCAGAGGGCTGAGGAAGGGTTGTTGAGGTGGTTCGGACATGTAGAGAGAATGGAGCGAAACAGAATGACTTCAAGAGTGTATCAGTCTGTAGTGGAAGGAAGGCGGGGTAGGGGTCGGCCTAGGAAGGGTTGGAGGGAGGGGGTAAAGGAGGTTTTGTGTGCGAGGGGGCTTGGACTTCCAGCAGGCATGCGTGAGCGTGTTTGATAGGAGTGAATGGAGACAAATGGTTTTTAATACTTGACGTGCTGTTGGAGTGTGAGCAAAGTAACATTTAGAAGGGAT